CTAAACCCACGAAAAGTTGGATTGATGAGTTTGATACAAGTTGTATTTCCTATCAGGAATTTTGTGCAATTTCTACCAGAAGAGATGGCATTGGAGAGAACAGGTAAAAAAATACACTGACCATCTTCACTGTCTGCTATTGCTCGGAAACAGAGAGGAAATCTCACACTAACAGAACCTTATTGGATTGTTCCCAACCTTGAGTCAATGTTTTGTAATTTCTCTATCTGTCCTGTAAATCAGAGGAAATGAATAGCATTGCAGTCCAAATGTCATTACACCCATCATCTACAGTTACAGGGACCTTGGTTCAAATCCTAGTCTAGCCTATTACATTTTAATCTCCAGACAGATTAGCTCGATGCCTGCATATACTGTATGTAATGATAAGAGTTCAGAGGTTACAGAAATGTCTGCACGATCAATAGCCTAAAGCCATCCAGCAGCTCAACAACACAGCAATATCACATTCTTCAACTCGGCTTTTTAAGCGAAATTTGAAAGGCAGAATAAATGGAAACATCCATCTTCTAACCCTGTATTAGTTTAAGACACATCAAGTCTTGCTTTTACAGCTGAATTTCTGTGTTTTCAAGATATCATTGTGGCATCATCTCTACAATGACTGCAGAGTGACAGAAATCAAAGCATCTGTGGCTGTAGGTATGATGGCTACCTCCATACACAGCACAGCCTGTCTGCCAGATCTCTAACATTTTAATTTTATTGATGTTACCATTAAATGCTGTAACACCGGCTTGTTAGTATAATTACGTCTTTAACTTTGAGAATTAGTAGCCTCCAGTTTGTCAATCGTTATGTTTTCAGTTGTTGACACAGTCAGTACTTTTGCGTGTAACAGATTGTTGAACAAATACATTTCAAACTTCATTTTAATTATTTTTTCAAGCTTGCATCCAACTGAATTCATAAAGTGTTGTTCAGATTAAAACACCAGTAAACTTAATTCTTAATTTTCTTTCATATCTAGAACTATATCTATATGTAGGAGTTGACCAGAGAGATCTTCAATTAAGGTGCCTACCATTGCATGACCATCAGTAGATCCAAGACCAATCTTTATTCTTCTGGATCATAACTGTTTTTTGTACTGATAGTTATAATATAAGTAGTAGTCCTTTAACCACTAGTCAACTAAAATTTGGTCATAGTACTTCAAAATCAAGGGTAACAGGGTGTTTTAAAAAGTCAACAACAAAGGAAGACCCTGTAATTGATTCTAATGTATTGTCATCACATTTATATTTAGATGATGTTATGTTTAGGTTTGAACATTCCTTTGACTCTATCTGATCCAAAAATTGTTTTAAAAATTTTTAAATACTGATAAAAATGTCAAGATATTATCAGAAATGGATGCTGTAAGAGACTGAAAGTAGATACATGGGGATAGTTGACCTTTGAACATGTGGAACTTTGACCATAAGCAACCATATCTTTGGGTATGCACTGAACAAACTATGTTCTGAAGATAAATTAGCTAATTAATTATTCCACTCGGTGAAGCGAAACGCTTTAGATAACATAACCTGTTGTAGGTTTATAGGTAAATCTGAGGTGCCTAATTAAATTGTATCAAACAATTAGAATTTGTGCCTTGCGTAGAGCACTGTACTGGGTGCCACCCTGATAGGGAATCACAGGTCTCCATAACAAGTTTAAACCATGTGTCAGCCTTGTTCTTATGTAGGATATGTTACCATATTACACCTAACTATTACCGTAACAGTGTATAGTGTCAGTATAACAGGCGTCAAGAAGTTGTGAACTGGTGCTTAGCCACTGAAGTACTTAATGGAAATGCATTAGAAGTAATAAAACATCAGAATGAAAAAGGACATCTTCATTAGTTCTACTCACTGCTAGGCTATAGCAATTATAAAGAAACAGTTTGATATGGTGGCTTATATTACAGTTTAATATGTTGGTTGGTGGGTCAGTTTGATTGGTGGTGTCTGGGACAGTTCAACATGGTGGGTCGTGGGTCAGTTTGATTGTTGGTGTCTGGGACAGTTCAACATGGTGGGTCGTGGGTCAGTTTGATTGGTGGTGTCTGGGACAGTTCAACATGGTGGGTCGTGGGTCAGTTTGATTGTTGATGTCTGGGACAGTTCAACATGGTGGGTCGTGGGTCAGTTTGATTGTTGATGTCTGGGACAGTTCAACATGGTGGGTCGTGGGTCAGTTTGATTGGTGGTGTCTGGGACAGTTCAACATGGTGGGTCGTGGGTCAGTTTGATTGGTGGTGTCTGGGACAGTTCAACATGGTGGGTCGTGGGTCAGTTTGATTGTTGATGTCTGGGACAGTTCAACATGGTGGGTCGTGGGTCAGTTTGATTGTTGATGTCTGGGACAGTTCAACATGGTGGGTCGTGGGTCAGTTTGATTGTTGATGTCTGGGACAGTTCAACATGGTGGGTCGTGGGTCAGTTTGATTGTTGATGTCTGGGACAGTTCAACATGGTGGGTCATGGGTCAGTTTGATTGGTGGTGTCTGGGACAGTTCAACATGGTGGGTCGTGGGTCAGTTTGATTGTTGGTGTCTGGGACAGTTCGACAAGGTTGGCGGGTCAGTTTGATTTGGTGGTTGGTGGGTCAGTTTGATATGATGGTTAGTAGAAAAAGTTTGATATGGTGGTACAAGGAACAGTCTGACATAGTGGTTGATGGGACAGTTTGACATGGTGGGTCGTGGGTCAGTTTGATTGGTGGTTGGTGGGTCAGTTTGATTGGTGGTGTCTGGGACAGTTCGACAAGGTTGGCGGGGTAAGTTTGATTTGGTAGTTGGTGGGTCAGTCTGATATGATGGTTAGTAGAAAAAGTTTGATATGGTGGTACAAGGAACAGTCTGACATGGTGGTTGATGGGACAGTTTGACATGGTGGGTTGTGGGTCAGTTTGATTTGGTGGTTGGCAGGTCCGTTTGATATGATGGTGGGTGGGACAGAGTGATATGACAGTTAGTTGTACAGTTTGACGTGGTGGTTGGTCGGATGATTGATATGATGGCTGATGGAACAGCTTGTAAAGATTATGGTTGGTTGAAAGTTTGATATGGGGATTGGTGAGAGAGTTTGGTAAGACAGTGGATTGGTGGAACAGACAGCTTGATAAGATGGTGGTAGTGGTTGGTGAATGATTAAACAAACTGCATTTTAGCATGGTGGTTAGATAGATAGGGTGGTTGGTTGGGCAGACTACATAATGTTTGTGCTGCCGACAGTTATTATTATAGACAATGTTTGATTACAGAGCAGGACAATTTGATGGAGCTACACTGACTTGATGCAATGGTTATAGAATCCAGGTTAACCAGCCATGTTCTTGACTACTAGTGTCACACATTTCATTTCACATCATTACAGAGGATGACTTTCAGTCTAATATCTAATGATGCTGAGAAGCCATGCTATTTCTGCTCATTCTCAAAAATGTAATCATAAAATTTGTGGATGAAAGTACTTTTTTTTTCTGCAAGATGTCATGTTTAACTGCAGGTGGATGTGAGGTCAGGAGTGTGATAGGCACAGATTTAGGTATGGAGGTTTTTGAAGCATTGGTTCATAAGAATTGGTTTTAATACATGGGCTCTGTGAAAGAAGTTTGTGAGAGATAGCTTTGTGAGGCCAAAGTTTCTGAAGCATGGGTTTGTGAATAATATATCTACAGAATTCAAGCTTTATGAGGCAGACCTTTGTGAAGGGGTTAAGCTTTTAGAGGCAATAGTTTGTAAATGATAAATATTTGTTGAGTCTGAACTTCATGAGGCAGCAGTTTGCCAAGGATGTATCTCTTGAGTTGGAGCTTTGTGAGGCAGTTGTTTGTGAAAAATGTGTTTGTTGACTTGGAGCTTTGTGAGGCAATAGTTTCTGAAGGATGCATCTGTTGAGTCGGCAGTTTGTGAGGCAGTAGTTTGTTTAGGATGTGTCTGTTGAGTTCAAACTTTGTAAGGCAGTAGTTTGTGAAGAATGCATTTGTTGAGTCAGAACTTTGTATCTGTTGAGTTCAAACTTGGTAAGGCAGTAGTTTGTGAAGAATGTATATGTTGAGTCGGAACCTTGTGAAGCAATACTTTTTTTAGGATGTATCCTGTTGAGTCACAGATTTATGAGGCAGGGTTTTGTAAGGATGTATTTGACAAGTCCAAACTTTGTGAGAAGGGTTTGTAAAACACAGGTGTCTGATGCATAAGTTGATCTACATGTTTGCTGTAGTATGATTTATTACATTAAATCAATAGGTGTCCAACAACAGTTGATGTGGTAATCAGATTCTGATCATTAGTTTTACAAGGGAGCTGCAGGTTCCATGCCAGTAAAACATTTGTCTGATGTAGACAGGCTCCTTTCACCTTAAGCAGAGAAATATAGTTGTGTTTCCAACTTGGAAGTTTCTCTGTACTTGGTCTGACCTCATATGACCTTGTGTTCAGACACAATTCCCATGACACTAGATTCTTATCAGGCCTTGGAGATAGCAAGCAGGAGAATGAGACATTCAGAGAAAGTAATCAATAAATTCACAGTTGATTGAGTGCTTTATGTAAGAAATGATTATAAACAAACCATGATGTAAACTAGTTGTAGTGTCTTTGTTAACTATCTAAATAAGTAAGTCAAATGTGAGATCTGATCCATGATCACATTACTATGGTTAGTGTAGTGATGGTCAAAGAAATCTGACTCTAAAACTAACAACAGGTACAATTATACATGACCTGGGTCAAATCTTGAATTTTGCATGATTAAAGCAGGGAGTTTATATAATTACACATCTATAGCAATGTTTGTGACTCTATAACAAAGTAATGAACATCAGAATATTTGTTTTCAATAATTACACATCCATGTAACTGTCTGTATGTGACTCTTATTTTGTGCTGCTATAAAGAATACTACCCACACTTACGTATGTTCGTTGTCACTGTAAAATAACCTTTTATAATATTGTAAACACGAAAGTTAATCTGAAACACTTACCTGTCGGTTGCGTTCATCGCCGATGCGGGATATTTGAATTTTTTTGCGCCCCATCCTGACCTTATCCACCCCACTCCCAGTGTTACTGCGTTCCTGAGCCACTATTGAAGTTTCTCCTACTGAACTTACAATCCTGAAATATACAACACAAACAGCTCTTCATTCCTAGAACATTCACAGACAGTAGGATGCACTGTATTGTTTAATATCATAGGGCTAAAGATTTGGGTAGTTCACAGATGTTAATTTTTGAGTATATCTATACAATCAAACTGGTATCCATATATAAAGGCATATAGCATAGATTTCTCTTTATTTCTATTAATGTTTAATGTATGCTGTGTGTCAAATGTTGCATATCATTGATAACCATGAATATAGCCAATTTAAACCTCCCCAGAATATTACCAACAATATAGAACCATATGCACTGATAGAGATTTCTGTAGACAGTACAGTAGAATGTAAATGTAGAATGTAAAGATTTCTGTAGACAACACAGAATGTACCAACACAGCTGATACAGATTTCTGTAGACAACACAGAATGTACTAACACAGCTGATACAGATTTCTGTAGACAACACAGAATGTACCAACACAGCTGATACAGATTTCTGTAGAAAACACAGAATGTACCAACACAGCTGATACAGATTTCTGTAGAAAACACAGAATGTACCAACACAGCTGATACAGATTTCTGTAGAAAACACAGAATGTACCAACACAGCTGATACAGATTTCTGTAGACAACACAACACAGCTGATACAGATTTCTGTACAACACACACACAGCTGATACAGATTTCTGTAGACAACACAGAATGTACCAACACAGCTGATACAGATTTCTGTAGACAACACAGAATGTACCAACACAGCTGATACCGATTTCTGTAGACAACACAGAATGTACCAACACAGCTGATACCGATTTCTGTAGACAACACAGAATGTACCAACACAGCTGATACCGATTTCTGTAGACAACACAACAGAATGTACCAACACAGCTGATACAGATTTCTGTAGACAACACAGAATGTACCAACACAGCTGATACAGATTTCTGTAGACAACACAGGGTGTACCAACACAGCTGATACAGATTTCTGTAGACAACACAGAATGTACCAACACAGCTGATACAGATTTCTGTAGACAACACAGAATGTACCAACACAGCTGATACCGATTTCTGTAGACAACACAGAGTGTACCAACACAGCTGATACAGATTTCTGTAGACACCACAGAATGTACCAACACAGCTGATACAGATTTCTGTAGACAACACAGAATGTACCAACACAGCTGATACAGATTTCTGTAGACAACACAGAATGTACCAACACAGCTGATACAGATTTCTGTAGACAACACAGAATGTACCAACACAGCTGATACAGATTTCTGTAGACAACACAGAATGTACCAACACAGCTGATACAGATTTCTGTAGACAACACAGAATGTACCAACACAGCTGATACAGATTTCTGTAGACAACACAGAATGTACCACAGCCGATGCAGATTCATGAAGACAATACACGAGAATTAACCTCACTTCATACAGAATTCTGCCATAACACTTTGAGTGCTCTGGTCAATAGATTCTGGTCATGTCCGACATGAAATATATGATTTTTTCAACCTGAGCTAATAGCTGTTATTGCTGGGTATGATTAGGTAATAGAGAAATACACAATATTAACCCAACAGTCGATGTTTTTTATCAGACTTTACTGTTATATGTTCGTCTGCAACCAAAGTACACATGACCAGTAAGCACAGAGGTCCAAACAAAATTTGCAGTCAATTATGGTGGTCAGGACAATATGTGTTTAAAAAATCTCAAAGATATGTTGATATAGGCAGTACTGTAAATGTTTTTTTTTAATGATTCTTATTTCTCCTTTTTTGCAGCAAGCATTAAACAAAACGCTGATGTTTTAATGTATGTAGCAGTCAGAGGTTATAACCAGACAGTGTATACAGCAGTCAGACATTATAACCAGACAGTGTGTACAGCAGTCAGAGGTTATAACCAGACAGTGTATATAGCAATCAGACATTATAACCAGACAGTGTATACAGCAGTCAGAGGTTATAACCAGACAGTGTATACAGCAATCAGACATTATAACCAGACAGTGTATACAGCAGTCAGAGGTTATAACCATACAGTGTATACAGCAGTCAGACATTTTAACAAGACAGTGTATACAGCAGTCAGACATTATAACCAGACAGTGTATACAGCAGTCAGAAGTTATAACCATACAGTGTATACAGCAGTCAGACATTTTAACAAGACAGTGTATACAGCAGTCAGAGGTTATAACCAGACAGTGTATACAGCAGTCAGAGGTTATAACCAGACAGTGTATACAGCAGTCAGACATTATAACTAGACAGTGTATACAGCAGTCAGAGGTTATAACCAGACAGTGTATACAGCAGTCAGAGGTTATAACCATTATAACAGTAGACAGTGTATACAGCAGTCAGAGGTGTATAACAGTCAGACCAGTGTATACAGCAGTCAGAGGTTATAACCAGACAGTGTATACAGCAGTCAGAGGTTATAACCAGACAGTGTATACAGCAGTCAGACATTATAACCAGACAGTGTATACAGCAGTCAGACATTATAACTAGACAGTGTATACAGCAGTCAGAGGTTATAACCAGACAGTGTATACAGCAGTCAGAGGTTATAACCAGACAGTGTATACAGCAGTCAGAGGTTATAACCAGACAGTGTATACAGCAGTCAGCAGTTATAACCAGACAGTGTATACAGCAGTCAGACATTTTAACAAGACAGTGTATACAGCAGTCAGAGGTTATAACTAGACAGTGTATACAGCAGTCAGAGGTTATAACAAGACAGTGTATATAGCAGTCAGAGGTTCTAATACTTGAAACAGTAAAATCCAGGTCTACCATTTTAACAAAAAGGCTTGATTTATATTCCAGTACTAATCCTGAAGTAGTGTAAATTTTGATTTCTGCTGTATCAAAACAAACAGGGAGTAATCGGAGCCTCCCACTCTGTCAACATTGGTAATCAGATGTCCCTGATCCCTCCGCTATATCTAGGGTTTCATTAGTCTGGTCACACAGTCTGGCCTATAACTATGGGGTCACACAGCCTGGCCAGGAACTGTGTAGTCACACAGCCTGGCCATGAACTATGTAGTCACACAGTCTGGCCTATAACTATGTGGTCACACAGCCTGGCCAGGAACTGTGTAGTCACACAGCCTGGCCATGAACTATGTAGACACACAGCCTGGCCTATCACTATGTGGTCACACAGCCTGGCCTATAACTATGTAGTCACACATCCTGGCGATGAACTATGTAGTCACACAGCCTGGCGATGAACTGTGTAGTCACAGAGCCTGGCCAATAACTATGTAGACACACACACAGCCTGGCCTTTAACTATGTCGTCACACAGCTAGACCTATAACTATGTAGTCACCCAGCCTGGCCTATAACTATGGGGTCACACAGCCTGGCCAGGAACTGTGTAGTCACACAGCCTGGCCATGAACTATGTAGTCACACAGTCTGGCCTATAACTATGTGGTCACACAGCCTGGCCAGGAACTGTGTAGTCACACAGCCTGGCCATGAACTATCTAGACACACAGCCTGGCATATCACTATGTGGTCACACAGCCTGGCCTATAACTATGTAGTCACACATCCTGGCGATGAACTGTGTAGTCACAGAGCCTGGCCAATAACTATGTAGACACACAGCCTGGCCTTTAACTATGTAGTCACACAGCTAGACCTATAACTATGTAGTCACCCAGCATGGCCTATAACTATGTAGTCACACAGCCTGGCCTATAACTATGTAGTCACACAGCCTGGCGATGAACTGTGTAGTCACAGAGCCTGGCCAATAACTATGTAGACACACAGCCTGGCCTTTAACTATGTAGTCACACAGTTAGACCTATAACTATGTAGTCACACAGCCTGGCCTATAACTATGTGGTCACACAGCCAGACCTATCACTATGTGGTCACACAGCCAGACCTATAACTGTGTAGTCACACAGCCAGACCTATAACTATGTGGTCACACAGCCAGACCTATCACTATGTGGTCACACAGCCAGACCTATAACTATGTAGTCACACAGCCTGTATCAACAATCATCAATCTGCCTTGATGATACTTTAAGATAGACATGTAACACAACCTGCCTAGTTGATATTTTACACACATGTCAATACAATCTGTCTTCTTGTTTATAACCCTTTATAAATAGTATGAAACTTTTGAATTTTATCAGAAAAGGCTTTAGAATTACATTTACATGAACAGATAATGTATGTTGATAAAAAGTGGTCATTGAATAAATCATACATTGACCAGTATGACAAATACTACGAATTAATAGTACAGATGTCTAAGATTTAGTCCAGAAAGGTCATCATAAGGTGTGACCTTAGGTTTAGATGATCTACCTGTATATAAGAGAACAATAGTGAAGTAGCCACTCAACTACTGGATTAATAGTACAGAGTACTTTATTTAAATCCTCTTCTAATCCTATTCTTTCATCAAAGTATACAAATCTACTCCAGCCATATAAATATGTTAAGTATGTACCACCATGTTTAATGTTCCTGGGCTCACGACCTTCTATCAACCCCAAGATTTAAACCAATTTCACTAAGACACCAACAGATCATGTATGCTACAACCATTTCTTCTTTTTATGACAGAATACAAGCTGACAGATATGTAAGGATGCAGGTCTCTCTGATGGCCTAGATACCTGATGTTGGAGCTCTGGGGAAAGCTCTGTCAGTGTCATCAATGTCTAAATTAAGTTGTTGCCATGAGATCACAGCTACGTGGCTGTAATGTCTGAGGCAACTCCAGAGGTAGTATCAAATTCTGAAAATTCACACATTTCTACTGCGTCTCAACTACCTATTAAAGTTTGTACTAATTCTTCAGCTACTATACTCACCCTTCCTCTAGAAAATGCATAATTATATAAAAATATCTCCTAGAAAATCTGCTCAATCTGACTTCTAACAATATAATGAATGAAAGTGATAATTAATGTTGCATTCATTAAGTAACAAAC